TTAAAAGGATAGTTCATCCAAAAATCATTATTCTGTCATCATTTACTCTTCCTCATGTCATTCCAAACCTGTATGACTTTTTTTCTCCTGTGTAACATGAAGGATGATATTTTGAAGAATATTGGTAACCAGACAGTTTCAGGGTCCCATTGACTTCCATTGTATTTTTATCCTTACTATGAAAGTCAATGGGACCCAAAACAGTTACAAGTTTTGGAACGACATGAAATGATGGCAGAATTTTCATTTCCCTTTAAGAACGTCTTAAACAAATACTCACATATTCTATTTTAAATTGCAAAAATAAAAAAATGCTATGTTGGATGCAAATGTTAGGGCAGAAGTACATACACTGTGGTAGGACTGCACGATTAATCGAATGCGTTTGTCATGCGCATTTTGTTAGTAATGCCGGTTCTGTAATCAGCAGTAAATCATCATCACGTGCTTTCAGATGGAGCAGTATTTATTACACAGAGCCGTAGTTAACTGACAAGTTACGCAAAAAAATCGCAGATGATTTTATTGTGCGATTATGAAATCGTTCGCGATAATGACAGCTGTTTGCATAGCTTCTCAGTGAACTACGGCTCTGTGAAGTAAATGCTGCTCCGTCTGAAAGCATGTGAAAATACCACATTTAATAACATGTTTTTACTCCCAACTCACTTCATAACGTCAGTCGAGTGTTTGAAATAAATCCTTCTGTGAGATGATGTGGCTTCTTACACAGAATAAGACATGCAACATATTTCATAGTATTCTAAGCAGTGATAAAGTCATTGCATTAAAAATATACTTTATTTTAATGAAAATTATAATCATAATAACTCCGATAAACCATATATTGTCATAATCGTCTGTTTATTAGTCACGTTGAATCAATGAAAGCAGTTGAATCTTCTGTTTATCCAGCTACCGCTATAGGCATTTCCTGGGTTTCTTCTGCGAGGCGTATTTGGAGTTTCCGCGCGAGAGCGCCCTCTGGCCTTTGGATGGAGATTTACTGCTGATCACAGAACCGTGCTTCACTGAAAGATACGCATGACAATCGCAGCTTCTGTCGAATCGCGATTTCGATTCCATTTCAATTTATCGTGCAGCCCTACTATGTGGTATTGTTATATTTTTTATTATTTTCCATTTCTCTCCTCTAATGCCATGTTGTTTCTGTGTATCTCTGTAGGCATGGCCAGCTTGTATTCCATGGCGCTGGTGGTGTCAGCATGGGTGTGGAGAATAAGGAGTGAAATAGAGGGAGATGGAGATGAAGAAGAAGAAGCTCCCAGCAAACATCTCATTGTGTAAGTCACAAATACCTTCTGAGGTACTGTATATGTTAGTCTAAAATATAACACTGTTCTTGGCCATTTGTTCCACAGGGCACATTATATCATTCTGCTGGTGGAGTCAATACTTTTTGGAGTTTTTGTCTTGGTGATATTTTATGATCAGGTATGCTTCAACATTATATAGCTTCTAATTTTGAACCATGTTAACATTATAGTCTAAGTTTAAAAAACTTTTTCACACAGTCACAGTATTGTACTTACATTCATTGTAACAGTGGGCCTGTTTCCACCTGGTCACTTCATGCGTTTTCTCTGATCGGATAGCTATCCGATTGTGAAAAGACCAGGTGTAAATGCCCTCCGAAATGCTTTCGAGACAGATTTGAATCTGATCGCTCAAACCACTTCAGGAGGTGGTCTGGGACGCATTCCAGACGAAACTGGACAAGTGTAAATGCATCTGGTTGTTGAAACCACATATGTAAATTTTGCTCCTCCCAAAATGTGTGAGAACGTGTTATAGGCTATATGACATGTCATAGCCAGATATGATAGCGCTAATGCAGCACACATCGCCACAGATGAGAAGCTGAGTATCTCTTCAGCAAGCCGACGTGCAAACTGCCGCAAATGAAACTGAAATTAAGTTGTCGATGCTCAGCACATAATCATCTTCATTAAAAGTAATAAGACAAACAGGGATCATTCACCCAAAATGAAACTTACCTTCTTCTCACCTTCTCACCTGTGTGGAACACAAAAGAAGATAGTTTGAAGAATGTTGGTAACAGATTCGTTTTAAATCATTTTTTTCTTAGCACAATACTTTTTAAGGAAATGTAGGAATATTCAGCAGTGGAAGTCTATTTTACTTTTTTATTTGAATTCTGAATTGTGATTTTTCTTTATTAAACATCTTTAGCCACCTTTAAATTGCAATGATAATGTTGTGTTGTGTGTTGATTCTCATTGCACTGTTGACCGAGTGATAGAATGAATGACATGATTAGTGCAGAGTGGCTCTTTTTAAACTAAAGTATATCTTAAGCTTGTCTAAAACTTCTTTCGGCTTTCTAAACACTAATATTTTCTTTAGGAAAATCTTAATTTATGTCAATTTTATTCATGTAATTGTTTAAATGTAAATGTTTTGTGCATGTGTTGATCTGTCATCTTCTGTGTCTGTTGTTTTGTCCCAAGCTGGTGTCCATCATAACAGATGAGACGCCCATTGAACAGACGAGGAACAGACTAATGAAAGACAAACCCAACAACACCCACCCGACACACATTACACACACAAGAAAGCCAAAAATGGCTTTGCTGAGGGAGGTTTTTGGACGTGGTGAGTTTAACTATTTACAGCATCTGTTTTTATCCTGCAAGCTTGTTAGAATTGTATCACTGTCACTGTTACAAATTGAGAAATAATGTTTTATGTTATTTAAAACAAAACAAAAATGTGTATTTTTGTAAATGTTTTTCAGAGTCTCATATTTGTCAAGGCTGGATTTATTTGATAAAAAATATATAGAATGATAATTGAACAGAATGATGTAGAATGTAATGAAAGTATAGAATGATCATTTTTATGTCTGCTTGTATTTCTCTTATATTTACAGGTTCTATAATATGTTGGTTGTTCCCGCTCCATTCCTCCCCTCCTCCTGTTGGCGGCATCAGTTATTCAGCACTTCCTGATTACGATGTGTAACACTAACCAGTTTTTCATCAGTTCATTTGAACGTTTCATCAGTATCGCATCGTGTTTAGAACACTGAATATTACGTTACTAAGTTGCACATTTCAGCTATGATGAAGGAAAAGGGCTGCTGTGTGAGAGTTTTTGTATACTGACTTCTGCGTACTGTTTCTCACACAGTCTTGTAACTAGGGCTGGGTATCGTTCAAACATTATCAATACTGATACCTTGACTTCGATATGCGATTACGACAGTATATGATTTGTATGTGATTTGCATTAGATTTTTATAACAATACAGTGTGATTTTTACATGAAAAATGCTAAGCAGGTGAGGCGATTAGCTTGATATAAAAGGCTACAAATAAAATATTTCTGCCACATATGACCAAAACCTTCATTAGATCGCAATCGGAAGTTATTAAAAAATACTTGATGGTGGTTTAAAGTGAGTTTTGAGTAAAAGCATAGTATACATTTTATAAATTGTCTTATGTAGCATGATGCTACAGTGTGTATGAATGGTCATGTAACGTGTTTTCCTTGATGCCTCGCCAGAGCCAATCACTGATGTAGGCACATAAAGTATGCTGCATGCTTATTGGCTCACTGACTTTGATGAGATTAACCCCTTAGGTATCGAAATTTGGTAACGAATGACAAGACACCCAGCCCTACTTGTAACGATATTCTGTTACAAGATACTTCCGAGTATGCGACACCATATTTGGTCACGTCACGTCACTTTACAAGATACTTCTACAAACCTTGATCTTTTTCCTTTCTCTGTTCATCTAAATGATTTCTCTTCATACAGCTAACCCAGGACATTGATTTAGATTTTTAAATTTAATATTAACTCTGAGTATTAGTGGATTTTATAGTATACATTTACTAGTATACTAGTAACCAGCATACATTTTGTTACTTACCCATTGATTGGCACACACCGAGATGTGAGCACACACTCACAAGGTCAGCTGTGTTGACTTTATTTCAGGTAAGTGCAATAGGACACATTCATTGTTTTTATTGTGTGTGTTTAAGCACATGGACTGTACTCCATTTTACAAGGATTGTAAATGCATATTTTATCATTTTAATTTCTGACAAAAGTATTGCATTTTCAGGGTACTGGGCTACTTTTGTTGAAGTGCTTGTTTTAGTTTTGTTTGATATGTTAATGTTTTTGCTGTTTTGTGGACAGCTTGAGGGATGTGTGCACATAACAGATGAACATGTATACTGATAATGTTTACATTGATATTTATTGTAATTTATCTGGATTTTTTTGTGTCTAAATGCTGCTCTGACTTATGTGAAGTAAAAGACATCTTTTCATATTCTGTCTTTTTCGCTTGAAAATTACAAGTTTGAGTGGAAATAAACCAGTAGTGTTAAATATAGATTGTTGTGTTTTATTATTCAAGAAATCTACAATATGTTTGTGTATATGTATATATATGTATATATATATATATGTATATGTATATATAACTAGCCCCGCCACCCATATATATATGTGTGTGTATGTATATATATGTGTGTATATGTATATATATGTGTGTATATGTATATATATGTGTGTATATGTATATATATGTGTGTATATATATATATATATGGGTTAAGGTTGTACTTTTTATTTTGTAGTACTTTTTTAAGGTAGTACTTTTTATTTACTGTATATTTTTAATAATTGATCTCTTATTAAAAAAAATTAACCTATTGTAATAACACATCGCGTTATATTTATTATAGAATAAAAAATTTAGTTTGCTCATAATGTATGACATTCTCTAATACGGGCAGCTTTTAGAAAGGCGTGTATAGGGAGTTGTGAACATTAATATTTCACTCGAAGCACAGCACACCTAAATGAATGAGAGCTAATTAAAAAGGGATCATATTAATTTTTCATCCTGAAGAGCTCGTCGCTTACTGGACCATTCCGTGGTCACGTGCTTGTGTTGTTATTTTTGTTGTCGACTTCCTGGTAGCAAAAATCATGTGATCATGTGACGCTTCCTGGAGCTTCACTTTCACGCATCACTTTTGCTCTCCGTAACAACATTTACCAGCAGCAAACGCTACATCCACAGCGGGATTTTGTTTCGGATTTGCGCTCGTTTACGGCATGGCTGACGGTGAGCGATCACCTTTGCTATTGGACAGTCGCGATGGAATGAACGGGCTGTCACCGGGAGATGAGACCCATCGACCTCCGAGCAAACCACAGAGTGAGTCAAACCTGATCGGGACTGACAGAAAGCCCTTTGAGCTTTCTACCTACACTGCATTTTTGGGCATCGTAGGCGGATTCGATTTAGTAAGATTGGAGCGTTCGAACGCGCCTGTGATGCCCACACTCACTTGCTTTCTAGGTTGGCAGAGCACTATTTAGAATCCCGTTATTTATTTATAACTTTTATTTTGATTTATTTAGAGCACAGTATGTCTGTGCATATCTTGATCATGTGATTTTACTTGCCGTAATCTGTAATCTGCAGATCCAGAGCACACTACAAATAGATTAGTGGCAGATAGACGGTACACCTGAATCACATGACTGAAGGTCATCACTTTATTAGTTTAAGTAATATTTACTCTGACCCAGCTTGAGCTAATGTTCAAGTTAAAGCTGTTGACTACTTGTAAAAATGTTGACTGCTTAATTATCTACACAATATTGCTCTGGTTAACATATTAATTTTCTTCATTTTGCTCAATGCATATAAGATGGCAATAAAACTAACTGAATTAGTTTAAAAGTTAATATGATTAGTAATGAAGGGATGATGTTGAATAAACCATTTATTTATGTTGATTTTTTATATAATTTTTTTATGTTTATATTTGCATAATATTTTTGTAATGTTTGGAGGCCATTTCTGTCAGATGATAGCATAAATCTGTTAGCGTATTACACTAATGTTGTGTAAAAAAAAAAAAAAAGGTTTAATAGCACTGTTCTTATCTGTTTGTATGGAAGCTTGTTTCTGCCATGAAATAAAAAAGAAAAAATAATAATTGTACATTTTCATCTAACAATTTTGACTTTTAATTGCGAGAAAAAAATGTGTCCCTCTGATTTAATGCAAATATTGAAATAAATAAAATATTTATTTTATTTTCATTGTCACAGGCGACATACAAATATTTATTTTAATAATATTATTAGTAATGAGGTCCATTTTATGTCCATTTTTTTTAAACATTGATTTGATAATGCATGCAATAGAGGGTTAATAATATTGGAAAGGCAGTATGGTCATCCTTTTCTTTTTTCCCTCACTTTCTCTCTCTGCCACCTGCTTACATCCTCTCTCCTGTTCTCTCTCCATCCCAGATTTCCCAGCGTTCCCATCAGCTCCTCCCGTGTCAATGCTGGGAGAGGCTCCTCCACCGTATTCCCCGCTGGGTTCTCCGGAGAGTGGCAGTGCTTCTGTCATCAGCTGCAGAGTGTGTCAGTCGCTTATTAGCGTGGAGGGCAAAATCCACCAGCATGTGGTCAAATGCGGTGTCTGCAATGAAGCTACAGTGAGTTAACAAGCACATTTATTTAAGATTCCATTTATCAGACGTGTAATAATTTTGTGTTCGATTTTAGCGAGGTGCTGAAAACTGAAATTCAAGAGAAAGTTCAGACTGTGACCTCACTTCCTGTTTTATCTAGCCCATAAAGAATGCTCCAGCAGGAAAGAAGTATGTGAGGTGTCCATGTAACTGTCTTCTCATCTGCAAAGTCACCTCACAGAGGATCGCCTGCCCTCGACCTTACTGGTGAGAGACTTTACCGTCCTTCATAAGCCTTACAACAAAGTATTAGCAACATGCCACGGATCATTGATGGTATCAGATATATACTATAAAGCTGAGTTATTACTACATAACCATTATATATAAATATAAATATAAATATATATATATATATGAAGAGTTCAAATGCAAAAGCCTCTAAGTGCCATCTGAAAATTTCTTCTAAAATTAGCTTTTTTTTAATCAGGCTCCTATGTTTATGTTCATTTATTTAACTTTAATGGCATAGAAAAGGACCTATATATATATATATTAAATGCTGTACTTCTGAGTATTTTATTCATCAAAGAATCCTGAAAAATGTATCCGGTTTCCACAAATAATAATAAGCAGCATAACTGTTTTCATTTATAATAATAAGACTTGAGCACCAAATCAGCATATTAGACTTCTTTCAAAGATTGAAAATTTGTATGTATCACAACTACTGTTCAAGTTTTGAACAGTAACATACTGTATATTCAAAAACATGGTAAGTTTTATCGGTGGACTTAGACCAATAAAGTCTGAAGAGAATTACAGTTTATACCAGAAGTAAGTGCCTTAATAGAATTTTATTGCAAACATTTTTAAAACAAGGTAATGAGATATGATTGGATGCTCAAAGGTTGTTGTGCAATTATGTTGATAGGTTTTTTTCTTATTAGGTTTCCAGAAATAGTGTTATTTAATTGTGTGTGTGTGTGTG